GCCAGCCGCCACGCATGCTGCAGTGCCCGCGCGAGTACTTGTTCGAGCACAGGGGGCCAGCTTCCGGGGCGCCACCGTCCTCTGGGTGGCGTTGTTGGTCGGGTATTTTTTATTTTCCGAGCGTGGGAGTACCTGCTCCAACGGGACCTGGCGCCAGGGCCTCCGCGGGGCGCCATCTAGCGCGTGGCTGAGCGACTGCAACGAGGAGGTCCTCATGATCACGGCCTCGAAGACAGATTAGTTCAACGCGGGGAGCTTGAGGAACCACTTCCGCTCAGGTCGCCTCCTGTGTGTTTGTGGCCGCTCTGCTGAGCTCCAGCGTGTACCGGAGCGCTTCGACCGGGTTGGCGAGGCTGGCCTCCCTGTCATTATGAGGCTGGATGGACGCCCCATCTCGCGTGAGATCCAGGGGCTCCTTGGACTGGCCGCGTCGGCTTGTGGAGTGAATGGGGCCCAGATGGGTTCCCATTCGTTGAGGATCGGGGGGCGGGGGGGGGGCGACGGCGCTTTACCGCGGCTGTCGCGCCTCGAGGCGGTGAAGAGGTTTGGGAGATGGTCTACTGACGCCTTCCATGGGTCTCTTGAGGGACCACCACCGCCACGCGCCTCCGCGTTAGGCGTTGCCGAGGGCCACGCCCTGGGCCGACCGCAGTGCGGAGGTCGCCCAGGCGCCGCGCCCGCCCGCGCGGCTAGCGTGGGATCCCGGGCGGCGTACCTGGGCACGCCCTTTATAACCGAGTGGGCGCCCCTGTTGTGGGCGCCGAGCGAATGGGGTGCAAGGCCGTATGGGCCACCGTCGGAGGAGGGTTGCACAGCGAAGTGCCGGCCACGGGTTCAGAGTCTCGGGGGGTCGTCAAGCTGTGATGGTGCCTGCGTCGACCTCGCGCCCTCAGCCTCCGACCCCTCGCCCTCGGGCGCCCCGCCGCTCCCGCCCCCGCCCGACCCGCTCGCCCCCCCCCCCCTCCCGGGCGCTCGACCACGCCGCTCCGCGGCCGTTTGCCAGGCTCGAGCGGGCTTGGCTTGGCTGGCCCGCGCGCCGCGCGCCCGCGCCCCACGCGCGCCCGCCCGGCGCAGAGCGGCCCGCGCCATGCGCCCCAGCGGCTGGCGCGGCACACGCTGCAGGCGCCGACGCAGCAGCCCACCTCGGGCCCGTGGCGCACGAGTGTCGCGAGGTGGCAGCCAGCGCACTCCACTCGGACGCAGGTGCGGGCCTTGCGAGGCCGCGGCCAGCGATGGCGTTCCTCGCCGGAAGGATCGTGCCCGATCCAGCGGGGGCGGCCGCCCTCGACTCGAGCATCCTGGGCGTCGCGGAGGAGGGGGTCGTCCTCGCTGGGAACAGCATCGAGGCGGGGCTGAGGTCGGCGGGCCGCGCGATCCACTACGGCCTCTGCGAGGGGCTGGACCCGAGCCACATGATCGAGGTGAGCAATCGCGATCATGCCGCGGCCCCCGCCGGTGGCCGCGGCGTGCGTCGCCGCCGGGGCGGGCCCAGACGCCGGGCTCCTGATCATAGTGGGCGGCGCGCGCTCGATGTGGGGGATCGGCGCGGGGCCGAACGTAAAGGCCCAGCGGCGGGCTGCGAAGCTCGCGCTTGCCCTCGGCCACCGCGTCGCAGCGGAGCATTCGGGAGGCCATCGACGACGACCCTGGCTTCCTGGCCGTCGCCCGGCTCGTCGACCCCGCGGCAGCCGCGCCCTTCGCGTACCTGGGCGACGACGTGCGCAGCCCGCCTCCTGCCGAGGAGGAGGTGGATGTGGTCGGCGCGCTTGTTCGCGCAGCGGCCCAAGCGGAAGCCGAGCGGCGCGCGAGGCAGGAGGCCACCCTGACCGCGACTGCGCGTGGAGAGGGCGGGGAGGCGGCCCAGCCGGGAGCCCCCGCCCCGCTCCTTGTGGAGGGGGCGGTGCGGAGCGCCCGACAGGGAGCTCCCGTCCCCCGTGCTGCCCCGCGATGGCCTCCGGGCCGGACGCAGCCGCGGCTTCGCGTGGAGGGGTTGGCGAGGCGGGCCCAACCGGGGGCCCCCGCCCCCGCGCAGCCTGCCGCGGGGCGCAGGGCTGGCCGCGCAGGACGACCGCCGCGTGCGGCCGCGGCTGTCACCCAAGCCGACGCATGCCCCCAGGGCGGGCCAACGCTCGCGTTCCCGACGTCGTCTTGGAGCGAGCGCCGGGCCGCGCGCGGGAAGCCAGCCCAGCGCGTGGCCGGGCCACCAAGCAGGAGGCCCACGCCCCCGAGGCGCCACGTGGGCAGAGCGGCAGGGCGAGTGCGGTCGGCGGCCCGCTCCCCGCGCAGCACACCCCCGGCCTCGATGAGGGTTGAGCGGGGCGCCCGTCGTTCGCGCTCGCGCCGTCCGGCAGCGCAGGCGCCCATCGCCAAGGCGGGTCGCCGCCCGCGCTCGCAGCGCCGCGCAGGGGCGAGCGAGGAGGGCCGCGCGCGAGGGGCCAACCCGGTGCGCGGCAGAGCGGCGGGGAGCGCCCCCGAAAAACGCTCGTGGCACCGGGGCGAGGGGCAGGTCTGTGGGTCTCCGCGGGCGCTCGGGTGGTGACACCAGCGCCCCGCGGCCGAGGGGGGAGGCGTCGAGGAGCTCCGTTGCCGCCGACGCCCTCCCACGGGCGCCGCCACCTTGCCCGAGACAGGTGGCGATGCCGCGGACGGTCACCAAGCAGGAGCACCAACGGGAGAATATTCGGATCGCGCGTGTCCCGCCAATTATGAGTGTGGCCGAGGTGCAGGACGTGGCAGGCGAGTTCGGGGCGGTGCAGCACGTCGCATTCCTGTGCGACGCCAGGCGCAAGAGGGAGCCTCGGGCCCTGGTGGAGTTTACGAAGCATCGCCATGCGTCTGCGGCGTTCGAGGCCTTGAGCGACGACTGCCGTTCCTTCCGGAGAACAGGGGCCCGTGGGTGAAGTGCCGCTGGGGCTCGGCGCCCCGGAGCCCTGACGGCGGGTCCGATGGGGGGGGGGGGGCTCGACGGCTGACGGGCCCTGTGTGCCTGTCCTGCGAGGATGAGGCTCCGACGACGATGCGCTGGGCGACCTTCGTGTGCAAGCGAGGCGTCCCATGGTCACGCGCGCAGTGCCCCGCCAATGGGAACAACGTGGGCCCGCTGTGGTGGCGCTGCAGGGCCTGCGACGGGTCGATGTGCGAGGCCTGCTGCGCAGGCGCCGAGTCTGCTGCAGATCGAGGCCCGGGGCGGAGCGATGGCTGATCCAAACCCTCGCGAGGGCTCGCCCGAGCCAGCCGCCCAGCCCGCGCGCGGGCCGCGCAGGCGGGGGCGGCCCTTTGCGTTCCCGGAGCGGCTCCTCCTCCTCCTCCTCCTCCTCCTTCTCCTCCTCCCCCTCATCGTCATCGCCATCATCATTCGTATCAGTAGCAGCATCAACATCATCCTCTTCATCATCACCAACAGCAGCATCATCAGCAGCATCATTACCACCATCATCATCATCATGCTCATCATCATCAACGTCAACATCCGCATCATCGTCAGTAGCATTATCCTCATTAGCATCATATTTCTATTTACTCCTCTTCCTCTTCCGCATGACCATCATCATCACCATCAGTATCAACACCACCACCGCCATCATCATCACCATCCGCAGCATCAGCATCAGCATCAGCCTCAGCATCAGTATCAGCATCAGCATCATCATCACCATCATCATCATCATCATCAGCAGCATCATCATCATCGTCGTCCTCGTATTTGTCCTCATCTTCGTCCTCATCTTCGTTCTCATCCTCCTCCTCCCTCCTCTCTCCTCATCCTGCTCTTCCTGCTTTTCCTCCTTCTTCTCCTCGTTTTTCTCCTCCTCCGCCTCCTCCCCATCCTCCTCTTTCCGTCGTCCTCCCGCCACCCGCCTCCCTCCGCCTCCCTCCGCCTCCCGCCTCCCGCCTCCCGCCTCTCGCTTCCGTCCTCCCGTTAGTCGTAAGTCGTCCGTTGTCGGCGTCGAGGTCGCCATCGTCGTCGTCGTCGTCGTCGCCGGTGTCGTCGTGTCAACCACTGGCATCTGGAGCGCTTTGGATCGGCGGCACTGGCCGGAGGCCACTCCAATACAGTTTTTTGGCGCTGAAGTAACATACTTTTCTGTTCATATGAGTTTTTATGGCGCTCTCGCGCGAGATTTTCCGCTTCGGAGAAGTTGTTCGATTTTGTATTGAGTTTCTATAAACTTTGTTTGCCTGGTTCCCAAACTCTGGTTCTGGGATGGGTCTAAACTTTTCGATGCGCGCCCGTGCGGGGCGGGCCCCGGGCGCTGTCCGAGGCTTTTTCCAGCGCCGCTAGGGGCCGACGCGCCCCTTGGTTTTTGCCCTGGCACGAGCACGCGAACGTCCACAATGAATTCGGGCATTGACCAGGTGCCAACACAAGGCAACGCCACCTTCAAACGCCCATGATCATAGCAGCAGCGCGCCGTTCGCATTGAATTGCGCGGCGTTGTCGTTGGCTGACCGTCGAGCTGTTTCCGCTGGCAGTTCTCGCGGTGTTTGATGGTCCCATTAGTCCAGAAGTCTTCATGTGGGGGGCGGGGGGCGTTTTTCATGCGTTCGTTCAGAGCAGCCTGCAGCCAAACAACTATGTTGACACTTGTCGCGACCACTTTGCGGTCGTATCTATTGTCGAGCGCCACAACATCGCATATAACCAGTTTTGACGGATGGAACACAGGCCGTATAGTATATGGCGAGTGGTCTCCCCGAGCATCATTGGTGAGACTGTCCGCTCTCAGTTGTTCCGTTTGGATTTGAGCGTGCAGATATATCACATCGAAAAAGACCGCTTCCAAGTTGGTAAGATCTTGCGTCCACGCGCGCTCTCCGATCTTCTTCTCCGCACGTGTCTGATACGAAGTGGCGCTGGAGGCTCCCACGAGTTGCCACCGATCTTGGGGCGACGTGCGGGAAACGGGGGGAGGGGCTCCAACCTGGAGCGGGTCAGGCGCGCAGCCTCGAGCGTTCCAGCGTTGGGCCTCTGTGGTGGCCCGCGTGGGGGGCCTGCCGCCTGGCTCCGAGCGGGGCGGCCGCGCGCCCGCGCGAGCCGCTCCGGAGGGCGCGGGCCCGATGGCAACTTCGCGGTCGCGGCGGGTGCTTTTCGTCGGCGACAGCTTGACCTGCACGGCTCGAGCTGCGGGAGCTGGGACGTTGCGGTCGAACAGGAGACATCTGCGTGCGCAGACTCGCGGAACTCCGCGCGGACCTGCGAGCGTTTATGCTTGTGCAGGTGCTTCTTTTTCGATGCAGATCTATTCCAAAGGCCGCCTTCACCCCACCCACAGGAATTGAATGGTATTGCAGGAACGGGGGGGGGGGTAGGTCAGGAAACGATGGGGGGAGGTGGCCAGGATTGGAGCGGGGAAGGGGCAGGAGAGGGAACGCTCCTTAGGGCACTCCGACGCCATTTTTTTTGGGACCTGGCAGGCCACGCGTGTGGCGTATCCAGGGGCCGGGTTCGGCCACGCGTGAAAAGTGATCGCTGGCTCCGGAGACCTCTGGTGCGGGCCCACATGCGCCACCCCGGCACTGCCCTGCGCGCTCGGATTTCGGCCTTCCCTCGGCCCTCTGAAGCCGCGCACCAACGTTCACTCCTGCTCAGGGTCACTCTTGCGTGTAGCCGAGGGGTGGGCGGCGTCGTGAGCGCCCCAGCGCGGTCGTGCAGCCTGACCTACTGCAACGACCTTGATGTGCAGGTGGCCGCGCTGGCGGCCGCAGCCGGCATCGAGGGCGTGGAGGTGGAGCGCGAGGCGCCCTCGCGAGGGGAGGGGAGGGGAGCAGACCGGGCGGGAGGCCGATCTCGGCGTGGAGGGGGCTCTTGTCCGCCTGGGTCGTCTGGGTGCCACGTCATCGCCTCCGCCAGACTCTGTTCGAGATGCAGGTCGGGGTGACGCCTGAGGGGCGGGGGCTCGACAGCCGATCTCGGCGTGGTGCCAGCGGAAGGCCATGATCGGCCCCAAATGATCCAGGATTTCCGGAACCCGCGACGTCGTCGTGCCCCGGCCAGATTCGGCGCGACGCTGATCGGGATGTTGTGGGGGTGGGCTGGGGATCGATGGCCCCCAAGCGCTGTTGCCCGCCACTCTTCGAGGACGCATGTCAGGGCAGCCCACGATTCGACTCGACTTGCTGGCTCGCGCAGCGACTCTGGTTCGATTCGATTCGGCTCGTTTCCATTCACAGTGGCACCGGCTGGGGCCAGCCAGAGCCGAGCGCGGCGGTCCGATCTCAGTTTGACTCGGGACGGTTCGCTGGCGATCCGATGCGTTCCCGATCCGATCCGATTTCGCGGTTCGATCTAGCTCAGGCCTGCACGTGACTCTAGGCCTCCTAGATGGGGTCGGAGGATCGCGCCGCATTGCCGATGCATCGCCGATGCGGCTCGATGTGGAGCCTGATTTGCTTCACGGCGACATCGCCGATGCATCGCCGACGTCGACGATGCAACGCGGGTGCATCGCCGATACATCGCCGAGGCATCGCCGATGTATCGGCGATGCGGCGCGATCCTCCGACCCCATCTATTCCGACCCCATCTAGGAGGCCTCTAGTGACCCATCCATCGGCTGAGACCAGTTTTTCAGGCATCCCTTCAACGTTGTATCCTTGCCGTCTCCCTGTCTTCGGTGCCCGTAGGCTGTGTGCCCGTAGATGGCGTGGCCGCGTCGACTGATAGACAGTCTGCCCTGCTCTTCTGTGCTCATTCCGAGCATCGCGGCAAGGCTCAGGCGGAGGGAGGTATGGTCTTCTGGTGACCAAACGCCTGACCCCAGGTGGTCCGTTTCCAAGCATGCTCCATACACAATGCAGCACGTACCACGGCCGACGCCGTCAGGTCTACTAACCGGCACGCCTGGACATCTGCGGGACGCTCACAGCAATGGTGTTGTGGTCCGTCGGGACCGTCTGCAAGACGCCTAGGCAGGATTATGGCATGTTTGCATCTTGTCGACGAGGCGGCGACCAAGTCGCGGGCGTTCAAGGTTGAATGCCGCCAGGAACCCAGGAGGAGGAGGAGGAGGAGGAGTGTGAGGAGTGTGAGGAGTGTGAGGAGTGTGAGGAGTGTGAGGAATGTGAGGAGTGTTGTGAGGAGTGTGAGGAGTGTGAGGAGTGTGAGGAATGTGAGGAGTGTGAGGAGTGTGAGGAGTGTGAGGAGTGTGAGGAGTGTGAGGAGTGCGAAGAGTGTGAGGAGTGTGAGGAATGTGAGGAGTGTGAGGAGTGTGAGGAGTGTGAGGAGTGTGAAGAGTGTGAGGAGTGTGAGGAGTGTGAGGGGTGTGAGGGGTGTGAGGAGTGTGAGGAGTGTGAGGCGTGTCAGGAGTGTGAGGGGTGTGAGGGGTGTGAGGGGTGTGAGGAGTGTGAGGCGTGTGAGGAGTGTGAGGAGGTGTGAGGGGTGGAGGGGTGTGAGGAGTGTGAGGAGTGTGAGGAGTGTGAGGAGTGTGAGGAGTGAGGAGTGTGAGGAGTGTGTGAGGAGTGTGAGGAGTGTGAGAGTGTAGGGACTGTGGGGAGTGTGAGGGGTGTGAGGAGGAGGAGGAGGAGGAGGAACAGGAACAGGAGGAGGAGGAGGAGGAGGAGGAGGAGGAGGAGGAGGGAGGCGGAGGCGGAGGCGGAGGGAGGAGGCGGAGGCGGAGCGGATGATGATGATGATGGATGATGATGATGATGATGATGATGATGATGATGATGATGATGATGATGATGATGATGATGATGATGATGATGATGATGATGATGATGATGATGATGATGATGATGATGATGATGATGATGATGATGATGATGATGATGATGATGATGATGATGATGATGATGATGATGATGATGATGATGATGATGATGATGATGATGATGATGATGATGATGATGATGATGATGATGATGAGGAGGAGGAGGAGGAGGAGGAGGAGGAGGAAGAGGAGGAAGAGGAGCAGGAGGAGCAGGAGGAGGAGGAGGAGGAGGAGGAGGAGGAGGAGGAGGATGAGGAGGAGGAGGAGGAGGAGGAGGAGGAGGAGGAGGAGGAGGAGGAGGGGGAGACGAACGAGAAGGAGACGGAGAAGGTGGGAATGGGAAGGAGGCACGGACGAGAAGAACAACCCATTCCACACGTCGACAGGGTCGGCGGATTTGGCATGATCATGCAGCTGCCAGAGGGTGTAAAAGCGGACAAATCGTGCTCCGCGAGGGCTGCGCGAGGACGCGGAGATGGCCGCGGGTGGAGCATCGCGGTGCGTGGTTCGCGAAGTTGTGTGACCCAGGTTCTCAATTCCGAGTTTGATAACAAGGGGGGGGGTTCTGATTGGGGGCCGGTCTGATTTGAGCTGTCCTGGAGGGTTCTTGGCAGAATGCCACCCTTTCATGGCTGGTCTGGGGTGGGCTACAGCTCCACCTCTAGAAATTCATGCGGATCTCCGTTACAGTCAAAACTCACAGTAAGGACGCACGGATGTCCTTCGGGTACCTTAGCGTTCTTGCCTCTGCAGCCCGTCCTTCACAGTTTTCACGGGCCAGCCCTGCAGGGTGTTGGCAGTCCACCACTCCGAAAATGCCAACTTCGGCGTCCTTACAGCACGCACGTCCAGATTTTCAGTATAAGTTGTTCGATGTTTTTGTTTGTAGGCTGCAACTCCCCTGTTCCTCCTCCTGTTGTTTCTCCGTTGCCCTCCCCTGCTCCTCCCCTGGTGCTCCTCCCCCTGTTCCTCCTCCCGTTGCTTCTCCGTTGCCCTCCCGTTGTTCCTCCTCCCTCTGCCTCTCGTCCCCGGCCTCCCGGATCAGCAGACGGCCAAAGCCTGCCAGGCCCAGGCCCCGTCCTGGCCGACCCTTGCCCTCTCGCGCGCGATCGTCCCCAGAGGTGCAAGGCGGCGCGCCGCTCAAGGCCCCCTCGCGTTGCCGCGGGAAGGGGAGGGGGGGAGGAGGAGTGCAAGGTGGGGGTGGGGGTGGGATGTTGGCCCAGACCTCCTCGCGCTGCCAGCAAAAATCACGACCGTGGGTTGTGGGTCACTTCAGTCCTCTCGGTGCCCTCACGGGGCCCCGGGACCGCGCACAAGACGACTCGGGATGAGAATCCGCGGGTGGGGGGTCGAGACCTCTTGGGCCCACGTCGCGAAGCAAGCACGACTTCGGAGGTCCAAGGGCGGGAGAGGGGGGAGAAGGCTGGACGTCCAGCGAAGTAATTGTGACGGGATGTGAGCCTGTAGATCGCGTCCTTTTGCATGGGCCTCGGGCTTGCGCTTGGAGCGCTTCCCCGATTGTAGTTCTTCGTGACGTCTCGTCATCGGGATTTCAGCGCGCCTCCAAGTGCGGCCCCAGTCGCGCCTCCTGGCACGGTCTCCCTGGTATCCACTGGATTCAATGCCATGTCCCAAGTTGGTCTTGTCACACGGAATGTCCTCGCAATATCGGCTCTCGGATTCTGGGTGGGGGCCTGAGTACGGGTGGAGGGCGAAGGGGCTCAGGATCTGCGCAGCAAGCCTCAGCCGCGGAGCGGCGGACTGGTCGCTGGATGTACGGGCACATTGTTTCAGCCATGGGCGAGAGTGCACGTGGGAGGGTCGGAAGACTGGATTCTTGTCGCGTAGTGGTCGCCACCCCCTTCTAAAATGTCTGTATGTATGTTCTGTCGCATGTCTCTTCTGGGCATCCTTGTGCCAACCTTGTGTGTACCGCGCTGTGGTCGGGGCGGGCTCTCTTGTCGTACCTAGCGTGCGATAGAGGCGCTGTAGCATGTTGTCCTTGTTCGTTTTGTGCTCGTCGTCGTCGTTGTCGTCGTCGCTCTCGTCGTCGTCGTCGTCGTCGTCGTTGAACTCGTATTACTGAAGACTGTTATTGTTGATCCCCCCTCCAGTAACATATGTTTTTTTCAATTGAAGGGCCATTCCCAGGGCTTGCACCCTGTTTTCTATCAGGGAAAGTCTTCCTCCTCAGACTGCGTTGTTGGCCCCCGAACTACAACAACAACGGCTCCCGCCGTATACTTCCTCACACTTTATTCTTAAATCGCGCTCTCGCGCGGGACCTGCTCACAATTCTGTTTCAGGAATCGCGCTCTCGCGTGGGACCCTCCTAGCAATTTATATATTCAGACGCTGCGCCCTCGACATTCAGGGGTCATGCTCTCGCTGTGGATCTCATCATGATTGATTTGGGAATCGAGCTGTCGCTCGAGACTTACTCGCGATTCATGCAGGACGCACGCTTCAGCAACCCGCCTGCTCGACCTGGCCGCCTGGGCCCTCCTTCCCGACCCGCCTGGTAGGGTCTATCCGCTTGATCTGCTCGTCCGGTTTTGCCACGTGTTTTCTGTTTCTAGCCCCCCTTCTCTTAGTCTCTCTCGTGCTCCATCCTCATCCCTCCCCTTGTCCCTTCCTTCCATCCGTACTCTCTTCCCCTGCCTCAGGGACTGCACAACATACACGTTGCAGGTAAGAAAGATATACCCCCAAGGGGGTACGGTCGAAGACGAAGTGGGCGGGTATCGAGGGTTCGGGGTATACGTGTCGAATGGCACGCGAGCAGATAAGAGCGAACATTATTACAATGATTGTTGCTATTGCTATTGTGCTTGTTCTTGTTGTCGTTGTCGTTGTCGTCGTTGTTTTCGTTGTTGTTGTTGTTGTTGTTGTTGTTGTTATTGCTATCGTTGTTGTTGTTGTTGTTGTTGTTGTTGGTGTTGTTGTTGTTATGTTGTTGCTGTTGCCGATCTTGTTTTTATTGTGGTTGTGGTTGTGGTTGTGGTTGTGGTTGTTGTTGTGGTTGTTGTTGTTGCTGTTGTTGTTGTTGTTGATGTTGATGTTGTTGTTGTTGTTGTGGTTGTTGTTGTTGTTGTTGTTGTTGTTGTTGTTGTTTGTTGGTGGTGTTGATGTGGTTGTTTATTGTTTGTTGTAGGCTGTAGATTGTAGGCTGTTTGTTGTAGGTTGTTTTTTGTTTGTTGTCTGTTGTTTGCTGTTTGTTGTTCGTTGATGGTTCTGTGTTGTTGTTGTTGTTGCTGTTGTTGTTGTAGTTGTTGTTTGCTTGCTTGCTTGTATGTTTGTTTGTTTGTCTGTTTGTTTGCTTGCTTGTTGCTGTTTCTGTTGCTCTTGCTGTTGTTGATGATGATGATGATGATGATGATGTTGATCTTGTATTGTTGTTGGGCCCTCTAGAGGCTCCCTGGCGCTCTCGCCTGGGCGCCGGCTGCATTTCCTTTGAACATTGGGATCACGCTCAGGCGTTCTGGGGGTGCGCCGAAACCGGTCCCCCAACAACAACAACGCTCCCGCTTGATATTTCCTCCTTTTTAACGTCGGGACCAAGGGTTGTGCTCGCCGCCGAAGACCGGCTTTCTCACAAAACCGGCCCGCTCAGGATTTCCTTGTTTTTTGCTCCGGATCGGCGCTCCCGCCTCGGCGCTGCAGGCGGCCCCCCTGCAAACCACGGTGCTCCCGTACGATGCTTTCTCTGCTTTTACTCACTCCCAGAGGCCCTGAGGCTTTCGTAGTCCATGTTGAGCCGTCACTAGTAGACAATTGCTCTTGTGGCGCACCCTACATCCGCACTGGCGCTTTCGCCTCGGTCCTTTGAAATTAGGCTCACGCTCAGGCGTTTTCGGGTTGCGCCGAAACCGGGCCCACAACAACAACGACAACAGCACCACCATCACCACCAACAACAACGACAACAGCATCAGCAACAACAATAACAATACTAACAACAACAAAGAAGGCAACACCAACAGCAACATCAACAACAGCAACAACAACATGAACAGCAACAGCGCTCCCGCTCGACACTTTCTCCTTTTCTACTCGCGACCGACGTTCTTGCTCGCCTCCGAAACCGACTTTCCAACAAAATGGGCGCTCCCGCTCCATATTTGTTTTTTTACTGAGGATTGGCGCTCCCGCCTCGGCGCCGCAGACGCCCCCCCTCCTGCAAACAACGACGATCCCGCTCGATTTTTCATTCGCTTTTAGTCAAGACTCCCAGAGGCCCTGGGGCTTCCATAGTCCCTAGTGCCGATCTTCAAGAATGCAGCATGCACTGCCTGAGGTCTGCGCCAGTGCCTCCATGCCGCGCTCCGCGTGCCAGGGGCGGCCCGAGAGCCCGCGGCGGCGACCCCGTCGTCCTCATCCTCGTCCTCGTCGTCGTCGTCCTCCTCCTCCTCGTCCTCCTCCTCCTCCTCCTCTTCCTCCTCCTCCCCCCCTCGTCTTCCCTCCTCCCTCCTCCTCCTCCTCCTCCTCCTCGTCCTCCTGCTCCCTCCTCTGCTTCATTCATCGAGGCTCGGAAGCTCCTCTGATCCAAGCCTTTCCAACTTCAAGATGGCCCGAAATCCTCCAGTTCAGTTTTAAAGCGTCTCGCAGGGGTTTCCATGTTTCCCACAGGGTTTCTGAAGCTTTTCTGAGAGGCTCGTGGAGCTCCCCAACGGGCTCCAGAGGCTGTCCAAGGGGCTCGGGGGGCTCTCCCAGAGGCTATGGGGCCTCTCCCAGAGGTTTGGGGCCACTCGGGCGTGGTGATACCTAGAAGCAAGGCATGGACAGGGCGATTTCGAAGGCGATGTGCCATCCAGGCTGGCGATGCTGCATTGCCTCGGATGATGTGTTGACAAGACTTCCTCGAGCTGGAGATCTGGGTCAGCCAATACTGGACCCCTTGTGCAAGAGAAATCCGCCATGAGGGGATACCTATCATGATGGATGCATGCTGCATATAGTATCATAGGACACTTGGGTAACATGATTGATGTTGCTAACGTTATTGTTATGGTTCTTGCTATTGTTATACTTAGTGTTGCTGCTGCTGTTGCTGCTGTTGTTGTTGTGGTTGTGGTTGTGGTTGTTGTGGTTGTTGTAGTTTAGGTTTTTGTGTTTGTTTTGTTTTTGTTGTTGCTGTTGCTGTTGAATTGAAACTTCATTTCTAAAAAATGAGCATGGTTAATCTCCGGAAGCGGTTCCGCGCGCTCTCGCCTCGACGCCGGCTACATCTTCTCTGAAAACGAGGCTCCCGCGCGAGCGTTGGCTTGAGCCTAAATGTGGGCCCTTGGAGGCCCGGCAACGACGACAACAGCTCCCGCTCGATATTGTCTCACAATTTACTCCGAGACACCCTGGCCAAGGAGGCCCCCGAGCTCAAGAACGGCGCTCTCGCTCGAGACTTCCTCACAATTCAGTCAAGTTGGCGGAGGCCCAGCCACGACGACAAGGGCTCCTGTTCGAGATTCCCTCACGATGCACCCCGAGAGCCCCTGGTCAGGCAGGCCCCCGAACTCAGGAACGGCGCTCTCGCTCTAGACTTTCGCACGATTCAGTCAAATTGGTGGAGGCCCAACTACGACGACAGTGGCTCCCGTTCGATACTTCCTCAAGATGTATTCGCAGAGGCCCTTGCGAGAGGCCCCCGAGACCAAGAGTGGCGCCATCGCTCGAGACTTTCTCGTCTTTCACGCAAGTTGGTTGAGGCCCAGACACGGCGACAAGGGTTCCCGTTCGATATTTCTCAGTATGTATTCTGAGAGAACCCTGGCCAGAGAGGGCCCCGAACTCAGGAACGGCGCTCTCGCTCGAGAGTTCCTCGCATTTCAGTCAGTGGCCGACACGGAAGATATTCCCCCCCCAGAAGGGGGTGCGATCGAAGACGAAGTGGTCGAGTCAGAGTGGAAGACACGAGTGTTAGTAAAAGCGGACAGTCTTAACATGGTGGTTGTTGTTGTGTTCGTTGTTGTTGTTGCTGCTGCTGTTGTTGTCGTTGTTGTTGTGGTTGTTGTTGTTGTTGTTGTTGTTGTTGTTGGTGTTGTTGTTGTTGATTGTTGATTGTTGATTGTTGATTGCTATTGTTGTTGTTGTTGCTGTTGCTGTTGCTGTTGCTGTTGCTGTTGTTGTTGTTGTTGTTGTTGTTGTTGTT